TTGGGTAAAGGTAATTTACATTTAAGAATTGCTTCCAGAATGTAATAGGGGGACTATCTGTAGAGGAAAAAGAAAAATCTTCCTGCTATCAATGGTAACATGCATTCAGTGAGCTACAAAGATTAACTAAGTAGATGCAGAAAGCTTGACTAGACAAGGGGCTGGGGGCTGGGTAGTGGGGAGTGGGAACTCTGGCTAGTGCTTCTCAACACTCTTAAGTCCCTGGGACATAAGGAAGGTCTAAGAAACTGCCAAGACCAGAGGAAACTAAGGAGACATGGTTATTATTGTGTCCTAGATAGAATCTTAGAACAGATAGAGGAAAAGAATAGAAAAACTACTGAAACCTGAAAAAATCTGTAGTCTAGGTAATAGTAAAGTACCAATGTTGGGTTCCTCATGTATGTACCATGGTACTAGGTATTAACAATGGGAGAAACTGGCTGATGGTAGTTGAAAACTCTCTGTAGCATCTTGCAATTTTCCTGTACTTGTAAAATCATTTCAAAGCTATATATGTAGACTATATAATAATTTAACAGACTGTTTATACTATGTCTGTGATTTGAAAAGAAAAAGGGACACTGTCCAAAATGAAAACCCTCTTTTCGGGCATGTATTGTGTCTTCCAGTTCTATCCCAGCTTCCCTTTTTACTACTTCTTTAGTCACTTTGCTTGTAAGCTGGATCATAGATTCCTCTGAGGTCAATGACCACACGATCTCTCCCTGAGTAAATATCAGGATAGGTAAATAATCTAATCTCAGTGCTGACCTAATTTAGTTCACTTATCAGTGCTGCAATTTATCACCTACAAATGATTACACATTTTTTTTTTACTGGGTAATTTATGGTGCCAGTCTGGAGTCCTGTGAAGCATTCTACCAAAAGAGTATTTCTGCGTAACTGACAACAGTAGCAGTCCCTCATTGCAGCTCTTGTAAATTCTCTGTACCTCTGCGGAAGATGGACTTGTTTAAAGTCTAGACTAGTTTCTATGCAGCTCTGAAGGAAGGCTTTGACTGCTTAGCAGCCCGCATACATGTTTAGCCATATTTTTATGCCTGAATATTTCTGGTATCAAACCTAAAGAAGAAACACAAAATCCTACAGTTGGCCAAATTATTTATGAGTGATAAATTCAGTATACTTAGTATGAATATGTGGAGATGAAATGCATGCCTTTTCAGGAGGGGTTAATTAGTAAATACAAGGCAGCATTATCAAATCATATATCTGGTTAGGAAGTACTGTACCATTAATACCTCATCAACTATAATGCCTCACTTTAATCTTGAGAATTCAGTTCCATCCAAATGAGCAAAATATTTGTATGTGTCTATTTGGTGCTGAAATAAAACTTTTTAAAAAGCTGATTTTTTTAGTTAAAGTGTAAAAGTTGAATTCTTATAAAGGACAGCTATGATGAACCCAATATAATAAATTCAGTATTATCTGACCTGGTTGGAAAATGAGGTTAATCACATATTCTGGCTTATATGGAGTTACCATAGAGACTGTGCACATATTATCCATTTCCAAGAATAAAAGAAAGATAATATACACTCTACACTGAAGCGACACCGAATGTAATTTAATTTTCCTCTGATGAGTCAGTCACACTTGACGATCCTGCAGTACCTCAGAACAATCACTGTGAACATCATCAATTATCCATGTACCCTATTTATATAGAAGTGCTAGTTAATGGAGCTTTTCCATTAGCAGAAATTTGAATAATATGAAGGTGTTCTGGACTTAAAAACATGTATGTTGAAATTGTTGCAAATTTAATGTAATAACCTATCACATTTGCAAATAGAGGGATCTGATCAACATAATGGTGGTCTTGATGGGTTATGCAAGGACCAGGATGATGCATTTGGTTGTAAACTACATAGGAGATGTTGTTTTGCTTGTATATTAATAGCAATATCTCAAAATTCCAACCACAAGGAGCCAAAATAATTTTTAAGGATCTATTTCTTATTTTCAACATACATGGTTAGAAAGGGTATTTAAAAAAAAGTAAGAGCAGCCTTTTTCTCCTTCACTCAATTTCACTAGCATTAGAGTTTTACTAATTTGCAAACATATTCAAGTTTCCCTATTCATTATAACAAATAGTCTTATATTCTAAAATTTTATTCCATTGTGACTTTGTCAAAAGAAGTATTTCTCAAATTGTGTTCTTTGAAGAGTTAGTTCTTCTGTTCTTTGTTCATGGATTCACAAAGTATATCAACACACATAATAGATTGAGAATTCTTGTAGCTTAAAAACCAAAAAAACCTGGTTTCCAAGTATACTAGACCATTCCATTTTGGAAGAACACTGATCAACATTTCCCTGGCACTCTAAACAATGTAAGAAATACTTACACAAGGGAACATGCTGAAAACTGTTAAAAAACACAGGACAGGGGGAAAAGGATGGGGAAGTGCAGTGGAGGAGGGTTACACTGTCTTACGTACAATGCAGGTACAGGTATAATACCAAGGCAAAAATCCCACTGACCAATGAACAGACATCTAAACAATGAAGGACAAGAACGAAAAATAGATCAAGTTAACAGGAGGGCTCTAACAGGAGGGGGCAGGATAAAAGAAGGAAGTTAAGAAGGCAAATATGGTTGATGTATTTCCTATACAAGAATGAATACAGAATATTTAAACCTATAAAATCACCATAAGAAGGGAACTAAGACAGAAAGGAGAAAAATGGATGGGATGAACCAATTTGGGATATAATACACATATACATGGAAATGACATAATGAAACTCCCTGTCTAGCTACCTTAAACAAACAAAAAATGTCTTTTTTCAAAAATGGAGGACAGAAGGTAAAACAGGTCCTGTCTGGGGGCTGGCAATAGTGGGGGGAGGATATAAAGAAAGGGTATAGGAGGCTGAATGTAATGGAAATATTATGAAAATGGAAAAACAAGACCTACTGAAAGTATTCAAAAGAATGAGGGAAGGGAGATAAAGAAGAATGATGGGGGGGTGGTGAATTTAACTATGATATATTCTAAGCAATTTGTAAATGTCACAGTGTATCCCAGTACAATAATAATATGATACTATTAAAAATTTTAAAAATACTAGCCTTCTAGAGTAAATAGAAATTCTTTTCATTTTGGAAATAAATGATAGTTATTCATAACTTCCATCTCAAAGGGCAGGAGAGGTTGGTAAATTGTGCATTATTATGGTACTCTTAAAACTGTATTAATTATTTTTCATCAGTATCTAATTCTGGTAAACTGAGTCTTGAGGTGACCCATAACAGATGGGCCACTGGCCTTTACGGGGCATGAAAATCCATCCTTTCTAACTAAATTCTGTGAATCTTAACTACTTATTTCCCTGGTATAAGACTAATGTTTCAAACCCCTCAAATTGAAATATATGTGATTTTCCCCCACTATTAAAAGAACTTGAATTACTCAGACACAAATATATGCATATACATAAACACATCATTGACCCATATGATATTAGAGAACTTTCAGAAAATACTGATAATTCTTTTGGATTTCTAAAGTGTTTTGAGCAAATGTATCTAGTCTGACTATTTGCATTACATCATCTCAATTACTGTTTAACTTTGAATTATCACATGCATTTTACCTGGTTACAAAATAAGCACTCTCATTGGGACAATGTTGGTGCCCAGAATGGTTCCCAGATAAATTTTTAATCAGTGCTTACTCTTGTGTGTTTATTGCAGCACTATTCACAATAGTCAAGTTATGGAATGAGCCTAACTGTCCATCTACAGATAAATGGATAAAGAAAACATGTATATACACAAGAAAATATTATTCAGTCACAAAGAGAACAAAATTATGCCATTTGCAGAAAAATGGATGGAGCTGGAGATCATCATGTTAAGCAAAATAAGCCAGACTCAAAAGACAACTATTACATGTTATCTCTCGTATATGGAATCTGGATTAAAAAAACAAAAGACGTGAAGGTAGACAGGGGACTGTTTGAAGATGAGGAAAGGGACCAGCAGGAGGGGAGGGGGCAGAGGACAAGAAAGAGTAATGGGGGGGTGAATATGAACAAAGTATATTTATATACATGTATGAAAATGTCATATTGACTCATTATTTTGTACAGTTCATATGCACTAATAATAAAACAAAAATTATTTAAAATATTTTAAGGGGTGTGTGTGTGTTTCTGAAAGTGAAAAAGGGACAGAGAAATATTTTTGGAAATCCATCCTGCTTAGTTTGAAAATAAAGAATATTTCAAAACTAAACTTTGTGATTTCTAGTGTTTGGAGCAATTGAATTCAACCGATTTTAACATAAGTTTAAAAAGAAAAATAGGGTCAGAGTCTTAAAAACTAAACAGTTTTACCCACTATTTCACATATCAAAATTTAGCTTCTAGGCATATAAAATTCCTCAACCTCCTCCCCCATACCTACCTCTTACAAAGTCCTCAGCAAGGCTTTCTGACCATAGTCCTTCTAGCACTGAAGAAGGTTTGTACTATGAAAATATATGTTCAAAGCCCAAACTGGAACTGCTCATTTTGATATACAAGCAAATTACAGAACCCCTTAAAAACCCTTTATCCTGAGAAAAATTACATAGGTAATCAAAAAAGGCTAACAAAATCAAGTAATTCTAACATCTCTAAAAACCAATCGGTTTCTCATGTTTTAGCATATGCCTTTTTTACAATTAACTCATCTTCGAGCAAACATGTATGATGGCTTATAATCGATATCAATTTCTTATATATTAAGGTACATACATTATTTGGATCAGTGAAGACAACAGTATTTTCTGAAAATAATTCTACTAGATTTGTGTCAGGCCAGTAGGGTTGGAAGCTACCCTATCAAAGACCTTTTAGTATTTTCTCTTCTGGTAATAAACAAACAAAAGCAACGACAATGAAAAGCTCTGGTCTTTATAGACGTTAGTAAAAATATTCATGCATATTAATAACTGTGGGTCCAAGTGGATACTTACTGCTGTGTTTGCATCAATGGCATATTGGTTCCGTCGTAGCTGTCTGTGTGTAAAGGAGGTATGATCTCCCCAGTGACAGGGTGAAACACAGGAAGTGTTGACAGGGGCCATGCTAGCTCTCTGTTCTTGGACATATCTCGAAGCTCTTTGGTAGATTTCTGAATAGCACTGTGATGGACCAGTTGGATACTATATAAAAAAGAAATTAACAACATATATTTAAAATCATATATTAGCCTGATGGATCATCAATTTGAAAGGTTTTTTTTGCTTTTAAAATAACAAGACATTATTGCACTTTGGGCATTCTACAAACTATCTCAGAGGAGATACATCTCACATCCTTTTAACATAGCAGAACTAAAAATTGCAAACTGATTTGAAGTACATAAATCTTAAATTAAATTAAGCTATAAAGCTCTGTGTTACTATTACAGCCCTAAGTAACAAGCTAGTATTCTATTTATTTCCTATGATTAAGATAAAACTACCGTGGCTTTTATTTCTTGCTTCTGGTGGGGCATTTATAAATACTCACAGAAGTTTCATTTTATGTAGGTTATTACTGAAGATTCAGGAAAACTTGTATGAAAGGTCTTTTCATCTGTTCTGTGGTTTATAGAAATGCAGATTGGGAATCACATAATATAAATGGCAAGTTAATATTCTCAGCCTGAATATTTTAGGTTTAATTTTTATCTAGGTAATCTTAGTTTTCAAACCCTTTTTATTTTTAGTTTCTACCCCTCCTAAATAACTCTTTAGAAAGCAGCTTTCACATTTATGAAATAAACTATGAAAGATGATGAATGAAAAGAAAGCATGACACACATACTGGTGCATGGTGAGCAACTGAGAAGTGAAAAAACAATGATAAAGAAAATAACAGGAAAGAAGACACTTACTCTGGTGTTTGCATGTTTCTCTTTTCCCTAGAAACAAAACAAAATTTATGAATTAAATAATAGCATTGATATTTGGAACATTAAGACTATATGCTCATGGGATCTTGCATGATGTGGAAATGCTGACGTTGTCACTTTGTAATGCAACCAGGCAGCATTTGCCACCAGGTTCGTGATATTACTTGGATGAGTACACACATAGCAATGGAATACTGATGAGAGACACACAGAAAACGGGAAAAAATGGACAGTAAGAGTCAAGCTCTTGATGGAAATAAATTCTATGACATAATGAAATCAAGCTACATGTAAAAATGAAGAATTTGTTACTTGCTGCTTTATTAATGTTTTTTGTCCCTACTTTTTTACCCTGACTTCCAGGTAATCTTGTAATCTTGGGAGATTATTTCAGTTCACAAAGATTCTTGAAAGTACTAACTGTTCATGAAGTAAAGATTTATTACTCAAATGATGCTTTATTTTCATTAATTTGTTCATAAGATTTTTAAAATATATTTTAAACATCTAAATGTTTAAATTCCCTGTTTGACAGCAGAATGACTTCCAGAAGAATTCTGACCACCACTTCTGATCAAATTGATTAAGACACATTATATAGTTAAAGTGTAGTTACAAGGTCAACAGATTCCAGTCTGCTCACACAAGATGGCTTGCATAACTGGTGCCTAGCCTCAATTAGTCTAGGGACTGTTTTGCCAGCATGAATTTACGTCTAGCCTTAATAATTTTTGAATAAAGTAATTATGGTCCCTAATTTAATTTACTAGATTCCAAACCACTTTAATTCATTTTAAAGGCATGAAGTACTCAGTTTGACTTGAACACATTTTGAATTCATTTATAAAGTATTTTATGAACTAAATGAAACTTTGCTTTTAATGGCATCGCCTATGTTGTTGTCTTAGCAGGCTCTCCAGTTCTTTATTAATGTTTTAAAGTACTCACACTCCTTCCCGTCGGCAGCACATGAGATAAGCAAGTATTAGAAAAAGGACCAGTGCTACTGCCGAGGGCACAGCCAGTGTAATGAGGAAATCCGTGTAATAGTCTCTGCTTTTCAAAGAATCAGAAGGGGGTTTGTACTCTCCACCATCAGGTAAAATCCCCTCTCCACGAATCACTTCCTGATACGTGGACACTTGCTTTGTTTTATCAACCTGATGCAAAAGAAGACAATTACACATCAAATTAATAGCCGCAAACATTATGAGATTTTTAAGATCTAGACACACCAGAACATTCTTTGACAAATTACCTTAACAAGCCAATTAGTTTCCAATTACTTTACCACCCTGAATTTGCAATTATTTATTGGAGCTAGGGAGAGGTAATGAATGAAAGTAATAATCTTGACCTATTTTCTGTTCCTCCTGCAGCATATAAACCTACTCACACTATGTGTGCATATAATATATGTGTTCACGTCCTGCAGCATTCCCAAACATACACACATAGTACGTGGGCATGTGCATATATGGGTTTTTCTGTTGGTTTTCTCCAAAGCAGAAGTCCTTGATACTACTGTGTAAATTTCTTATTTCCTCATGATAAACCTCTACTGTAGGTGTTAAAAACCACAAACCAGCTGGTAAACAGGTAGCAGGTATGGTTTGTAAGGTTGGTGAGAGAAGAAAAAGAAAAAAGAAGTAAGGGACAACTTCCAAATGCATGGTTCTTTATTCTTCTGCTATCCAGCTGTCAGAAGTAATTTTTAGGAAAAGTCGTCAATGGAAGATGGAATCCGTCCAAGGCTGTGGTTTTACTAAATGCTATCCCAGGATCAAAAACCACACACTTGCTCCGTGTTAATTTATCTCCATGTTAATTGAATTGCTTTCACTGAGTTGCATTTAATTATACTAAGGTTTTCATTGATGGACACTAAAAAGTAGCTATGTGAATTTTTAAAATTACATTTGCTACTAAAAAAAGTGTTGAGAATTATTTGCAACATTATTCAACATCTCTCAAAAAACTCTTCACTCAAAGAATTTTGTTAATAACATGATGCTAGCAAAAACCTATTTTCTGCAAAGGAATTGATGCTCTGTCCTCTTTTAAAGAATGGGAATTAAATACCTGATGAATTTCCTTTAAAAAAAAAAAATCCTGGACGTTAGGAGGCTCGTCATCAAACACAAACTTGTGCTTTTTTCCTTTAAAGTTTAGGTTGCAAATTTTCTGTTTTTAATATTTTATTTATTAGGTGTGTTGTATGACTCATTTAAGCCTCCTGAAATCTTCTGTGGCGAGATGTAGCATATAAATAAATACATGTATGTAAAATAAAAATGAAAATTCCCAACCTTTCCATTTTAGAAAGCCTTACCATGGGAATTAAAATCTTCAAAGCACATATGTAATTTTTAAGGTTTTAGAAATTAGACAATATTCCTAAACATGAACTCACATAAGGGTTTGACCACAAGTAAAATGGTGCTGGTAGGGTCTGCAATCTCCTGACTCTGGTAAGAGGAATCTTTCTAAATTATGATCTCAGCTGTTCAATCTTTCACAGCCTTGTATGATAAGTATCATGAGTAAAATATTGAGCTCTGGTAAATTCAACATTTACCCATCATGCATATGAACCATAACAAGGAAATGCTTTTACTTCATTTAAGAAGGCACAGAAGGGCCATTATTTTTCTAAGATGCAAAGGTCAAGAGAAAAAGAATCAAGAGCAAAAAGTCACAGGGAGTGTTTAGTGTTGCAACGTGAGTAATGTGTTCTTCATCACTGGATGCTGGAAAGCCGCCTGCAGTTGGCTCTCTAGACATGAAGTGACAGTTGTGTTTATGTGTCAATAACTGTTCAAATGTCAACTTTAAACTTAGACCTAATTCACTCACCACCAATCACAAAGAGTGACAGAAGTTAAATCTAAAGGTCACTAAAGAATTAAAACAACTTTCCTACCTTTCAGATAGTAGGATCAAAATATTATATATGGAGATACATAACAGAAAATCTAACACAGCTTATGATTATAAAAATATTATGCATATCTCATATATATATATATATATATATATATGAAACCTCACTCACATTTTCCTCAATCTTTTAGCATGTAAATTAAAATGTGATTTAGAGAGAAATATTTAATGTTTATGACTTTATTCTGAAGGCTTTGAGTAAATTACTAACTCTCCTCACTAGGAATTGTTTCTGGTACCTTGAACTTTTCCTACAATTTGAGTTTCCAGAACATTGAATCAGAGCATAATACTTACTGTTTTATTTTCAAATTTATTATTGCACTCCATTCTTTCCTTCCAAAGTGAGGCACTGGCAGCATATTTAAGAAGAGACGTTCTGCACACACTATACTGGCTCCATAATCTGTGCTGATTTAACAGCCACCAGCATGCCCAAGAGGTTTACTTGGGCCACCTGCAAAGCTAACCCAGCCTCAACAACTAATCATGGGTAAAGTGAGCACAAAAGTGGAGATACTTTTTCCTAAATGGATGCACCATCAGTGAGTTTACCAAATCCTTAAAGTCAAGGAAGTGCACCTCAGTTAGCAAAGTAAACCCAGGCTTTATTTCTAAAAGTAATCCAGGTTTTAGTCAAATGTGATGTCCAGTCACATCACTCCTAATAAGATCTGCAAGAACAAAATTAAATGAAAACTCACCAGTGAAATTTTGCACCAGTCAATGTAAAACTGAGTACGAAATTTTTTATCACATGTTATCACAGGCTCCATTTCTTGACTGCATCTCAATTGATTCTGTGGGTTTTCAACTTCTCGTAAACAAGAAGAAAATGGGACATCGGCACCAACCATGACATAAACGCTGCAAAAATGCGAAAATCTCAAGTTATCCTTTAAGAAAATTGAAAACACTGAAAAACAATCTACCCTGAAAGCAGGATTTACCCTTTTGAATTGAGGGATTAACTAGAATCATCCCTAAGGTAGAGGCCGAGGCTTCAAAAGCAGTGATTCATGTAGGCTTCCGCTCATTCATTCCTTTATTCTGCCAATACTTACTGAGTGTCTTGGTGTATCAGACATTGTCTCCATTCTATGTTAATTTCTAGAGATTTCATTTCATCCTTTTTATATCATTACATTTAGTAGACTACTTACATTAAAAAGTTATCCTTGAGGTACACTGTTAAGAAAATAACCTTAGCACTAAAATAATAATTATGCTTAGAAGACAACCTTAGTACTAAAATAATAAATAATTGTAAGTAATAAATCTCCACTTGAATTCTTTATAATAAGATTGTGAAATTACATTCCGGACATCGGAGCTCTAGGCAGACTTTGCTATTCTACTCAACATTTTGCCAGTTTTTCTAGTGAACAAATACCTGTCTCTCAATACAAGGCCTATCAATATTTTATTTAAGAAATCAAGAGAAAAACTATTGTTTGGTAAGCACAGCAAGGTAAAAAATACTTTCTTGGTGTGTATCTTACCAATTATGAGGAAATAACTATTTAAATTTAGGCTAATGAGATTTCATAATAAAACAGACCATAATAAAACATAACATAATAAAACAGAATATGGTGACAGTAGCATTTAAATAATCTTGGAGCAGTTTGAGAAGATGAAAATAGCTGTGGCCTTTCAAAAGAAAAGAGAAGCCCCCAAAATTACTCTAAGTAAATATTATTTATTTTCTTAATGGCACTCTTATAGATACTTACAAAAATGAAATACAACCATTAAAATCTTAGCTGCCTTCTTTTTAAAACTGATCCTAAAACTCCTATGAAAATTCAATATATCCCCAGTAGCTAAAAAGGAAAATTTTGACTAAGAAATACAAAATTGGAAGACTCACAATTCCTGCTTGGAAACTTGTTGAAAGCCTCAGTAATACAGACAGTATGGTACTGACATAGAGACAGACAGATAAATCACTGGAATAGACTTAAAGTCCAGAAATAAACTAGTATTTTCTAACCTGATCTGAGGATTGTCATAGATAACAAGACAATTAGACAGAAAAAAGGGGAGTCTTTATATCTAATGGTGTTAGGGCCACTGGATAGCCACATGAGAAAGAAGGAAGTTTGATGGCCTAACTTTACACCATATGTGCAAAATTAACTCAATTTAGATCAATAAAGATTTTGAGGTTTTGGTTTGGCACATACAAAGATTGGAAGTTGTCACTCCATCTTAATAATAAGTAAAAAACTGAACAAACTGAAAAGTAAACAATTCTTAGAGCCATAAGAGAAGTGAGGTCACAAGGGAAACTGCTGCCCCCAGATCTGGAGAGACCAACAGACATAGAGAATCACAACTTACTGCAAACTAACCCTTGGAGGCAACTGGTGCTGAACTATAACTGAAGAATTGGTCTAAGACTCAAGAACTCCATAGGGATCCAGATATCCAAGGACCCTACATTTATGTGAGTTCTATCTCCTGGAGCTCTACCACGTTCTTATGGTGATAATCACAACGAAGGAAAAGGGGAAAGGAATTATTCTGAAATATATCAGAACATTTTTTCTTAAAGCCAACCTTAAGAAGAACAGATCCCATTATATCAGAGCCTAATGGACCTGGGATGGGGAGATACCCACGGCAGCTGGCTCTATCTTTCCATGTTTTTTTTTTTTTTTTTGGAGGTACTAAGGGTTAAACTCAGGGCCTCTTGAACCACGCCCCCAATCCTTCTGGTTTTAGTTTGTTTTTCAGACAGGGTCCTGTACTTTGCACCCCAGCCACCTTTGGGTTTCAATCTTCCTACCTGTCTTCGAAGTAGCTGGGACTACAGGCATGTGTCATCGTGCACAGCTTAAAAGAAGCTATTCAGAGAAAAGTAAATGTTACATTGCAGAAACTCAGATCTACATAAAGAAAAGTAGGGATCAGGGAAGGAATATGTGAAACAAAATAAAAACTTATTTTTCTCATAGTTGATCTGATAGATAATAGCATATTCAAAATAACAATATGTTCACATACGTATGCTTATGTATGAATACATGCTTATGCATGATTATATATATGAAATGAATAACAGCAATGATACAAGGGACATGAAGGAGGAACAGGGATTATCTTGTTTTAATAAGTTATTCACACTGCCCATGAAGTGTATAGTGTTATTGGAAAGTGGATTTCGATTAATAGTCTGTGTTTAGTGCTAATTGCAAGGCAACCATTAGAAAAGAGGAAAAAGAAGTACAAATGATAAGTGAAAGAACAGAAAAAATAGAATCATATAAAATGCCAACTTAAAACCAAAAAAAGGTGAAAAACGACTAAAAATAAAAAATGGGAACAATGAACAAGGCCAACAGAAATAGTAGCAAGTATGGTAGATAGTAATTCAATTATATAAACAATCACTTCAAACGGAAATGGTCTAAATGCACCACATAAAAATAGATATTATCAGAAATGATCTTTTTTTAAATTTTATTTTATTCATATGTGCATACAATGTTCGGGTCATTGCTCCCCTCTTTCCCCCGCCCCCTCCCTTATCCCCCTGACCCCTTCCTCTCCTCTTCACCCCCTTGCTACCAGGCAGAAACTATTTTGCCCTTATCTCTAATTTTGTTGAAGAGAGAATATAAGCAATAATAGGAAGGAACAAGGGTTTTTGCTAGTTGAGATAAGGATAGCTATACAGGGAGTATACAGGGACTCACACTGCTTTCCCATGCATGTGTGTTACCTTCTAAGTTAATTCTTCTTGAACTAACCTTTTCTCTAGCTCCTGGTCCCCTTCTCCTATTGGCCTCAGTTGCTTTAAAGTATCTGCTTTAGTTTCTCTGTGTTGAGGGCAACAAATGCTATCTAGTTTTTTGGGTGTCTTACCTATCCTCACTACCTCCCTTGTGTGCTCACGCTTTATCATGTGATCAAGGTCCAATCCCTTTGTTGTGCTTGCCCTTTATCTAATGTCCGCATATGAGGGAGAACATATGATTTTTGGTCTTTTGGGCCAGGCTAACCTCACTCAGAATGATGTTCTCCAATTCCATCCACTTACCAGCGAATGATAACATTTCGTTCTTCTTCATGGCTGCACAAAATTCCATTGTGTATAAATACCACATTTTCTTAATCCATTCGTCAGTAGTGGGGCATCTTGGCTGTTTCCATAACTTGGCTATTGTGAACAGTGCTGCAATAAACATGGGTGTGCAGGTGCCTCTGGAGTAACCTGAGTCACATTCTTTTGGGTACATCCCCAAGAGTGGTATTGCCGGATCATATGGCAGATCTATGTTTAAATTTTTAAGAAGCCTCCAAATTTTTTTCCAGAGTGGTCGTACTAGTTTACATTCCCACCAACAGAGTAAGAGGGTTCTTTTTTCCCCTGCATCATCGCCAACACCTGTTGTTAGTGGTGTTGCTAATGATGGCTATTCTAACAGGGATGAGGTGGAATCTTAGTGTGGTTTTAATTTGCATTTCCTTTATTGCTAGGGATGATGAGCATTTTTTCATGTGTTTTTTGGCCATTTGAATTTCTTCTTTTGAGAAAGTTCTGTTTAGTTCACTTTCCCGTTTCTTTCTTGGTTCATTTATTTTGGGAGAATTTAGTTTTTTGAGTTCCCTATATATTCTGGCTATCAGTCCTTTGAGGTGTAGCTGGCAAATATTTTCTCCCACTCTGTGGGTGGTTTCTTCAGTTTAGAGACCATTTCTTTTGTTGAGCAGAAGCTTTTTAGTTTTATGAAGTCCATTTATCTATGCTATCTCTTAGTTGCTGAGCTGCTGGGGTTCCATTGAGAAAATTCTTGCCTATACCTATTAGTTCCAAAGTATTTCCTACTCTTTCGTGTACCAACTTTAGATTTTGGGGTCTGATATTAAGGTCCTTAATCCATTTTGAGTTAATATTGGTATAGGGTGATAAACATGGGCCTAGTTTCAGTTTTTTGTAGACTGCTAACCAGTTTTCCCAGCAGTTTTTGTTGAAGAGGCTGTCTTTTCTCCATTGTATATTTTTACCACCTATGTCAAAGACAAGTTGGTTACAGTTGTGTGGCTTCATATCCGGGTCCTCTATTCTGTTCCACTGGTCTTTTTTGTGACAGTACCATGCTGTTTTTATTGCTATTGCTTTGTAATATAGTTTGAAGTCAGGTATTGTGATACCTCCAGCATTGTTCTTTTGACTGAGTATTGCCTTGGCTATTCGTGGCCTCTTGTGTTTCCATATAAATTTAACGGTAGATTTTTCAATCCCTTTGACAAATGTCATTGGGATTTTGATGGGAATTGCATTAAACATGTTGATTACTTGTTTTTTTTATACTTTTGGGAATATAAACATTTTTACTATGTTGATTCTATCAATCCATGAACATGGGAGATCTCTCCACTTTCTATAATCTTCCTCAATCTCTTTCTTCAGAAGTTTATACTTTTCCTTGTAGAGGTCATTCACATCCTTTGTTAAGTTTACACCTACGTATTTGATTTTTTTTTTGAGGCTATTGTAAATGGAATTGTTTTCATATATTCTTTCTTAGTTTGTTCATTATTAGTGTATAGAAATGCTAATGATTTTTCTATCTTGATTTTATATCCTGCTACCTTGCTATAGCTATTGATGGTGTCAAGGAGCTTTTGAGTAGAGTTTTTTGGGTCTTTAAGGTATAGGATCATATTATCTGCAAATAGGGATTTTTTGACAGTTTTTTACCTATTTGTATTCCTTTTATTCCTTCTTCTTGCCTAATTGCTCTGGCTAGGAATTCCAGTACTATGTTGAATAGGAGTGGAGATAGTGGGCATTCTTGTCTAGTTCCTGATTTTAGAGGGAATGGTTTCAGTTTTTCACCATTAAGTATA